TTTTGGTGTGAAGGACCTTCTGTGACTACTGTACATGTGAAGTTCATTGTTTGACTTGGTGTCAAGTATTGGTGCCAATCTCGTATGTTTGGGGTATTGATTTAAAAGAGTAAAGACTATACATAGTAAATAACTAGCGGTATTAATGCCAGTGTTGTTGTCTAGGTAGCATAAATTGTATGACCACAATCTAGTTTTGTATAATACATGAGTAATATGAGGTGGCCTTAATAGTTTCAGGGCTGTCACAAAGTTTAAAAGTAGGAGGCTTTTAGTCTTTCTTTTTGGAGCAGATGGTTTTTCCACCTTTTTGTGAAGAATCAGACAAAAAAAATCAGCCCAGTAGCACCCAACTAATTATAACAACCCTAATGTATATAGATACTATTACAGAGAATATGACTAGTATAGTTGCATCAGTGTTGCTTTGTTGTTTATTCTTTAGAAGTTAAGGAATTTGTGTGTGGAATTTCGTCTACAGTAGGTACTTTTAATTTCATAAAATAATGACAATCATGTTTAAAAATCAACCTTTGGTAGTTAAAGTTCCTTTTGGAACAGTTATAATGTAAACTGTTGTGAACTTGATATTGAATTTTTAGCCAGTGCACATTTTAACTCTTACAAACAAAACCAACTTTGGACCATTAACATTTTGAATAGCTTAAAAACCCTGTATGAAGTACTGAAAAGGATTAATTTTTTTCACTTAGGCTATCTATCAAGGTTAAAAATCCTGCTGCAGACCTTGCAGGATGTTATGTAGTGTTGTACTGTAAAAGCTTGAATACTATGCAAAGACATGTATACAGGTATTTTAATTCAACGCTGTGAGGTTAAAGCAGTAAGCTTATGCGACAAGACCAAAGAGCCTTCTGAGAATTCATTGGAATTTTACATATTGGTGTGGAGACAATCTCCATGTTTGTGTTTTCTGTATGTTAAGTATTTGTTTTTCCTCACATGAGATCATTTCTGTAGCTTTCCTTCGACTGTTACATGGTTGTAGGCTGCAAAACTTCACTCTCACTTCACTTTAGCGATAACCCCTGGGGGTATTGAGCTGGAAGCTGGGAAAAAATATGTATGAAACATAGTATGGCTAAAGTGTTTTCACATGTCTGAAGTAAACGAAAATACATGAAACTGTGTTTGCAGTGTCACTATACCTCATACGTACTCAGTACAGGCAACAGTTCTCTGCCTCAGTCTTGTCACATAAGCTTGAGGCTTTTCCCTTACAAGGAAAATTAATTAAAAATAGCTGTATATCTTTAAAATAAAATAGTAGAACTTCACTTAAAGGTGTTTCATCATGGATGATGCACCTTGAATCAATTACAAGTTGACCAATTTTGTTGTTCTTTTTTTTAAGACTGACATTTTAATCTGCCTTCATCTTTCTTAGTTGTAACATTACTTGTTCAATTTTGGTTTATCATTACTTGGCTGGTGTTTTCTACCTTAGATAAAAATTTTATTGGAGTTTTTCCTCCAACCTGACAGTAATTTGAGTAAGAAACAAGTTAAAATATGACAGCTGGTTGTAACTCCAGTGCTATGTTTTCTGCATTAGCAGTATTTAGCAGTAAATCTAGAACTCATAAAGGTCATAGTCTGTTACAAACTCCTTGTGAAAAATATATATTAAACTTAGTTTAAATAAATTTCCTTTTGTAAACTTTTGAATGACCAGTGTACATGTCATTTAAATTTAACTCCCTTACATTGTGGATGATAAACACATCTGACTTGTTCTTCAATCTGAGTTCAACAAAATCGACACGATCACAGAAAATCCCTCACACTCTCTTGAGTATTTGGATCCATTTTCATTAAATCATTCACAACCCATACAAATTAAGCAATGAGACATGCAACTTGACAGTTCTACCACAGTGGGAATGGCAACAAAAAGCAAACACATCTCTAAACAGAAGGATTAATGATTAGCACAAAAGAGTTAATTCTAGAGTGCAGCATTCTGGGATTTCCTCAGGTGGAAAAGTATTGGCGCACAAAGTTTATCAAAGTGTGACATATAGCATATATTATTGTACAAAATTTGCCAAAGGATTCTGATAAGTAAGTTATGGGTTTAGGAAGGAATACATGGTTTTTACTTTGGGATTATTGCTGATGCAGATGGTGTATCATCTTGTCTGTATCACTTTCTTCCTCTGCAACTTTCCAATTTGTGTTCATGTCATTTTTCTCCTTTTATGACGTATCAAACAAAATCAACTACTAACTGATGTGCAAGACAAATATGTCGCAATACTGAACCCTTGAATATGTTAAACACAACACTGAAAATGTAAATAAAATTTCCTGGAGACACATGCTCCATTGAGTGAATACTTCAAATAATAAAAAATTTACCACATTGGGCCCAGATTCTTAAAAGAGGGAACCTTAATATTTTGCAAGGTGGTCTATTTCTGGTTCCTCAGTTAGGCCAAATTCTAGAACAACCCCCCTTACAACGGGACTGCACGTGCACTTCTACTGGACCATGTCGTGGCCACCCACTGTAAGCAAACTTTAAACGATGTAATTGTGGGTCTAAGGAGAATAATTACCAAGGCGGTGAATTTTCCATATTGGTTATCACCACTGTTAGATTGTTCGAGACTAAAAAAACTGTGGTTGAAACAACCACTAGTTATCAGTATTTCAAAGGATCTTTTAGGATTCACATTGGGCTTTGTTGAGGAGGTTTCTTGACAATCACCTTAACAGGTGTAGAATAACCAGTAAGGCATGGTCTACCTTACTTCCTGGCCGGATTAAATGACCCTCTTGTGGTCCGTGGTGGCAGACCCATTGTCCTTATATGAGGTGGCTGCACAATGGCTCCTGGAAACCTGGGACCTGCTGGACGGAACTGAGACTGCAATGCAACCGCATGAGCCCCGAAGGGAACAGCTGGATGTACCGCCATGGGTTGGGCTGCGACAACTTGATGGCGAGGGTAGGGGGCAGTGATGGTGTGACGGGAATGAGCTGAAGGAATGGGGACAGGTATTGGCATGGAAGGGGTGTGGGTAGCATACACCTGTTGCATAGTAGTGTACTGTGCACCTTGCCATTGACCAGGAGAGGGGTGGGGTTCAGGTTGAGACGGTCCAGAAGGCTTGCCTCGTCTGCTCATGCTATTGGCTGCTCTCGGGGTACGCCCACTTAGATTGGTTTGGTCAGCATCCCACAGCTTACAGAGGTCTTCACCAATTTTAGGTTCTAACTCCTAGAATTGAACATACCTGACAGTCAGGAATCTTAAGTGCACAACATAACAAGGTTATAATTATAGGGCTCTTGTCAATGCTCTCCTAATAACTTTGACATGGAAAGTGATTTAAAATTCCCCCTATACTATACAATTTGTCACATTTCTTAGAGTGTTACAGCCGTAACTGAACAGCCCTCACAATGACATGGACACACTGGGTGGGGGCTGTACTGTCACTTGTAAAAGTCTCAATTATCTGAACTCCTCCACTTCCAAGCCAAATGATGAGACTGTCACTGAAAAGACAATCTTTGTATACTGTGTAATGTGAAGCAATTAATACACCTATATGTGCACTGTTATATATCAATTCATATTTTGGTTTGCCACTGTTCTTTTAACACTTTTTTCACAAGTTTTACACATTTTTACTGCTCCAAACTTAAACTTCAAGACATGAAAACCAGACGTGTCATTAGAAGTTTGTGTTTGACCACTATTTGACTGACCTGTCCATCACGACTGATCTGCACCTTCTTGTGATCATTCCATGGGTTTACAAGATGATGAGCTTGTTGGAATGGAATACTGGCTCTATGGAATAAGGGAGAGAGGAATGCATCTTATACATGTGTGTTACTTTACATGTACATATTCTTTGAGACATCGACAGAGGAAAGCTGTAAAATAGGGTAGAAATTGCATTCTCCAATGGCTCAAACAGTTTAATATGGAGTTTAATTAAGGGACAGTGTCCCAGTTGATTATTGAAATTATCTTTCCTATTCATTCTCCATGCTATATTGAAAAATATACAAAGAAATTGCGTACAAATATCTACAGATAAAACTTGAATACTTATTCCTCTTTCCTTCCTAGAAAAGTGACTTCTCAGCATTATTGATTTGAGCATTAATTACCCTGTTATATTAGTATAGATCATTGTTTATGCTTTGCCTCTTAAAGAAAGTTTGAAAATCAGAAATAAATCATGATCATACTTTTTTATCCATTCCACACTAAAAACACCACTCAGTGAACTTGAACCAAACTCAGGAGATTTGTCCTTGCCAATGGGTGACGTCATCTGTGCGTAGCCTGTTGCAAAGGGACCGTAAATGATGACAAGTTGTCAGTATTGTATTCTGTTGCAGAGCACAATCATTATTACAATACAAAAGTTTGTCAAATTATCACCTTGAAAGTGGCCACTTCCTTGCACAGAAAAGACAAGAATGACGAGCTTGGTTTCCTGAAAACAATTTAGTAATGTGACTAAATTACTCAGATGCTTGTCCTTTTTCAGAGTTTGAGAAACCTGTGGCAGAATGGTACCAGGAGACACCTCATCCCACCCCTGTTGTGTCTTTCACGCAACAGCCGTTATTAGACCATCACTCAACTCTGAAGAAGCATTCCATTATGACCCACATGACAGATCCAGCTCCCCCCCCCTTTCCACTCCAAAGGACATCCACAAACAAGACCACCTAGCAATAGAAACACTAGCCAGGTATACTGTAGTAACACCAAAAATGGCCAAAAATCACAAAACAGGGCATTTTCATTCATGAAACTGACTATATAACTTTAACCAACAAGTATATAAGTGACATGCATCCCTACCTTAAATGCTCTGTTAAGCTTCTTTTCATTGGCCAATGTTGTTGCCCAAATGCCCTTTAAAGAAAAGCAACATGGCAGTCTTAATTAGAGAGAGTTAAAATCCAACCAGATATACTTCTTTGAAAGATAGATAAATTCACGGTTACCTTGGCCATTGATATGTCCAAATTTCTTTGATTGTTACACTTCATGATAAAGTAACGAGCTGAAAATACAAGCAGAGTCAAAGTGCCCCTGATCAATTTTTGGTTGCATGTTGTAACATGCATACATGGATCACAAAATTTTTACAGAGAATCTATTGTACATCACATGAGATAAAATAACATTAGCAGCAGTAAATTCTGTCATTTGATTTTAAAAAAGCTTCAAACTCGTCGACACTACGACTTAATCCAAAGAGAAATTAGCACTTGGTGCTGTCAATCAATGAGTGAACTTAATTGTGAAAAATCAGTGAGTGTTTCTCAGAATTGTGGGTTTGGGGCAAGCATTCCTTTGCTTGCTCTACCTCCACCAACTCCATTGATCTTTTGCTCTCGCCCCAAGTCTTGCATAATCAAACTTGCTTGTTTGCCCACTTCTAAAGAACACATGCAACACAGGTTATTGCAGCAACGAATTTGGTGATGTTCTTTTTTATTTTCACAAGTTATACACATAACTTAACAAATGAAAATACTAACCTTCACTTAATTTCTCTGACTGTGGAGCTGGCCTTGAGAACCAACTGTCACCCGCCAATTTGCTCCCATTCTGTTTAATGGGTACAAAGAAAGACAGTTTTATAATTTACTGTCTATAATGAATATCACATGAGCAAAATGCGAAGTTTACTCGTTTCATCAACATTCATAATTCAACCTTTAATATCAGATACAAAATTATAAGAAAGAAACGCAACAAAATGAAAGATAAAACAAAGAAGGAGAGTACAGGCTGACATGGCTTTAAGTTCCGACCGGGTGATGGATGACCTTGTTAATTAAACCATCGATAGTAATACTACTTGTCTGAAGTACTAATGAATTCTCACAGCTAAAATTAAGAGAAATGTATGACATCCGGTAAAGAGAATTTACTGATTTCCTTTGTTATGTATTTGATAAGTATCAAATACATGTACAGCACCAACTTTTCTGTCACCATACTGAGACTTACACCAGTGAAAAAAAAAATCATTTAATGTGCTTCTGAAGTTTCAGAGTCATATTATTTGAAACTCCGTACTGTAATCCTTAAGGGAATGTTGGTGAGGCTCTTAAAACTAATGCCAGGTTTCATATTCAGCCCTGTCAGCAATACCAGAAGTATTATTTATTAACTGACTTACTTGAGGGGATGATGGTATTTCACTTTTCATGTGAGGACTTGACCCTGAATAAGTACACCATTAAGTATAAATAAATCAAATGAAGCAACTCTTTGTANATTGTGAAAAATCAGTGAGTGTTTCTCAGAATTGTGGGTTTGCGGGCAAGCATTCCTTTGCTTGCTCTACGTCCACCAACTCCATTGATCTTTTGCTCTCGCCCCAATTTCTTTCATAATCGAACTTGCTTGTTTGCCCACTTCTACAGAACACATGGTACACAGGTTATTGCAGCAATGACTTTGGTGATGTTCTTTTTTATTTTCACAAGTTATACACATAACTTAACAAATGAAAATACTGTACTAACCTTCACCTAATTTCTCTGACTGTGGAGCTGGCCTTGACAACCAACTGTCACCCGCCACTTTGCTCCCATTCTGTTTAATGGGTCAAAGAAAAACAGTTTTCTAATTCACTGTCTATAACGAATATCACACGAGCAAAATGCGAAGTTTACTCATTTCATCAACATTTATAATTCAACCTTTCATATCAGATACAAAATTATAAGAAAGAAATGCAACAAAATGATAGATAAAACAAAAAAGGCGAGTACAGGCTGAAATGGCTTTAAGTTCCGACCAGGTGATGGATGACCTCGTTAATTAAGCCATCAATAATAATACTAATTGTCTGAAGTACTAACAAATTCTCACAGCTAAAATTAAGAGAAATGTATGACATCTGGTAAAGAGAATTTACAGACTTCCTTTTTCATGTATTTGATAAGTATCAAAAAATAATACATGTACAGCACCAACTTTTCTGTCACCATACTGAGACTTACACCAGTGGAAAAAAAAAATCATTTAATGTGCTTCTGAAGTTTCAGAGTCATATTATTTGAAACTCCGTACTGTAATTCTTAAGGGAATGTTGGTGAGGCTCTTAAAACTAATGCCAGATTTCATATTCAGCCCTGTCAGCAATACCAGATGTATTATTTATTAACTGACTTACTTGAGGGGATGATGGTATTTCACTTTTCATGTGAGGACTTGACCCTGAATAAGTACACCATTAAGTATAAATAAATCAAATGAAGCAACTCTTTGTACTTATGTACTATGATATTGCAATCAGCATTTCACTTGAACTTGCAGGATCAATGCAAAATGTCAGGAAGATGCAATGCTTACAAACAAACTGGCAAGCAAACTTAAAGTTGCTTACCAGAGGGGTCTCTAGGACGTTCCCGAGAAGGAGAAAACTGTTCTACTTGGCGGGGCCTACAACAGGAAGACATAATATAATGCTATTAATGACATGTCTAGGGAGTGTTCTCTTTAGAAACCATGTAAGTAAAGCCTCTAATTTCTTACTGGCTCAAGCTCTCAGTACCTAACTCTTGTTTCTGTAGGAGTATTGCTACTCGCCAGCATTCAAAAATGGCCAACAATTTGCTGGTAGTTAATATCTAACTTCTGGGTGGAGAGAGGCACTGTGAGAGTAAAGTGTCTTGTCCAAGAACGTACCACAAGTACCCACCGAGCCTTGGATGTGGACTGCTAAATCTTGAGTCCAGTGCACGTACCATTAGGCCCCCACATCTCCCATGTACAGTAATGGTAACGGTAACGGTAGCGGTAACGGTAACAGTAACGGTCAGCACTAAATATCATTATGTGCAAGCTTTTACACATTTCAGTGATCAACTCACCCTCTGACTACAATAAAAGTATCAAGACCAGACCCTGAAAGCAATCTAGATTGTGTAGTACAACCTACTGGGGTTTCCAAAGGACACAAAGGGCAAAGAAATGAGTGTCTGAATTGTAGAGGTATAGATAATATGAATTCTCATGTCAGTTTGCTGTCCATAATAATTTCATTATGTAACTGTCTCTGAGGAGAGGTTTGACTGTAATGTTATATAGCTCCATATATTACAGTCCACTGGAAAAATACATAGTTCCTTGACAACAGTACATAAGTCATGAAGCACATCATACCATACCTTTCAATCCTAGATCGCCTGTCAGGTCCACTTTCAATTTCTGCAAGGGTAACAAAATTTCAACTTTGATTTGTTTTAAAATTGAACTATTGAACAAACAATGATTTACTGGCAAATGATTTGTTCTTGGGAGATGTCATGGAATAACGGTTAGTGCACTTGACTCATTATTGACCAGTCTAAGTTCAAACCCTGGCCAGTATCACTGAAATTAGTTCTGACAGTGTGGGCCAACTTAAACATGGCAGTTGTTGACTTAAACTCTTTTCCTTTGCAAAGCAAATATGAACCACCAGGTCATGGGAATGATGAATCTGATTTAAAAACTAAATTCTCCCAATGGAGATGATGGAAAATGTATAGAAACAGTAACAAGAATTTTGATATCTATAAGAAGAAAGTCACAATACCTGGCCTTGTTCTCCTTTGGCGTGGATACAATGAAGGATTCATGACTTGTTCCTCAGCTGTTAAAACTGCTGACACTGCACGGACAACCATCTGTAAGAAACATATAAAACTCCCACGCTGTAGATGGTAAGACAAACCAAACAGTAAAATATTGCACAGATATTTAGATAGCCTGGCACAACAATTTACAAGACCATAGACTAAGAAAGGGTTTTTTGAAGTTTTTGAAACTAACTTTCATGATAGCATCAGGTTATGAAACATCTCATATCGACAATTTTCTATAGACTGTCCTGAAGCAAAGCGTCTACCATTTAAACAGCACATGAAACACACAGTATAACCAAAATTTAAATTATTGAAATCAATACTAATGATTAGTGATCACATATAAAAACAATGTACTGGGGAGGGGGGGGGGGGGTAATATCATGCTTTAAATATAGTGTAATATGTCACTAAGTATTTTTTGCACAGTGTGGGATACTTGCCAGGAAAATCTTTTGCTTGATGGATCAAGATTGCATAATAGATCTAAAATAAAGGCCCGTTTTTAAACCCACTGACACATGCAAAGCGTCTAAAGGCGTGGGATCCAAACTGATTTCATTGTCTTTACCTCATCCACTTGGGACCATGGTCTGGAAGGAGATCGAATCCTTCTAATAAACAGTGCCTGTAACTTGTGATGCAGATATGCCACATGGTTTACAACCTGCAGTGGACAAAACACAGTTAAGAAACATCAAGAATTTATCAAATGCCTCATATATTTATCAAAAAATAATTAAATCAACTTGGGTGCTGAATGAGAACTGAATGGCCGGTTTTATACTAAAGATGCATTATCCATATGGACGAACTTCGGCAAACATTTGTAGTTCGCCTGCTTATGTGTCTCTAGTATAAAGACGGGCACAAAATGTATTATCCGTCTAGATGAACTATCACTCCTAGTTTGTCGTTCAAGACGAATTTAGAAGTATAGTTCGTCTAGACACATAATACGTCTTGTGCCCGTCTTTATGATTGAGACACATAACCAGACGAACTACAAATGTTTGTCGAAGTTCGTCCAGACGGATAATGCGTCTTTAGTATAAAAACGGTGAGGACGCATTATCCTCCCGGACGGATAATGCATCTCCTAGTATAAGAATGGCCAATGACTCAACCATATGCAAATGCATGTTACAGAATTGTTGTTTTCTCTTTTTTTTCACTTATTCCCCCATCATAATGTAATAGCTATCCTTACAGTGCTAATGCTCTTGCTTGCTGAGATCAGATCTTATGAGAAAAGTATGATGGAAGCAGTCTAAATAGCCATGGAAGGGGGAGAGGGTTAACTAACTCCAGGTGAGAGGCATCATTAAAAAAGAGAAGCAGAGATTCAATAAGCCATAACAACCTCTTGGTTTCCTGAGAGTGCAATCCAGTCATCCACCTTGAAAACAACACCATTGTTTTCTTTCTTCTCTCCTGTTGCTTCCTCTGTGTCACTATCGCTACTCTCACTCTCTCGTCCCAGGCCTTCTCCAGGATATCTCTCAGTGTCACGGGTTGCAGAGGGGTCCTGGGTAACATGTTCAGAGGAGAGACTGGGCCCAGTGAAGAGTGCCACTGTTACGGGAGACACTAGTGTACAGCATTTGACAGTGACTGTTGTGTATAGCCTGTTGAAAGGGTGATCATCATTGTATCAATCTTCAATACAAGGTGCAATATTTAGGGACAACATAAAATTGAAGAGAAAATGGTTAATATGTGACCATTCTTGAAGTAAACAAAAAAAAAAAGAATAAATGGAAAAGTTAATCTGAAGTGGATGAAGTATGTACCCAAGTCATTTAACCCTAGAGTTGCACTGTGATCAGTTTTCTTTCTTTGTGCAGAAACCTCCATTTGGTGACCAGTTGCTGAGTAACACAATCATTAGATCTACATATATCTCTTCCATGATGTTTCACAATAACAATACTGTTGGTCTACCAGAGAAACACACCTTGCCATTTCTTCATAAATCAGCCAATCAGATGGCAGTTTGGAGATAGCTTTGGCCAGAGCACCAGTCATGGAATCCCCTTGTGTTGGGGACTGGTACAAGATGGAGGAGTTGTGAAATCGAACCTTAGTCTCTTTCCTGTAAAAAGAGTAAAAAATATTAAACCATAGACCTATAAACCCTCTTTTCAAGGTAGAACAAGAAAAGTAAGAGTCTTAAAACTTTTGATTCATCCTGTTACATGTAACTACTACAACCATGCTCAATGGGATGATTTTTCTGTCATTGACACAGGTATACTCAGACAATAAAGAATGCAAGTTCTCCAGAGAGGAGGGAACCTGAGGTATTCTACTGAAGTTACAAGTCCAGATGCTCTACCACTGAGCTTCAAGAGACTTGTGGCAGTTATTCTAGGCTGGAGTGGACTGTCGATCAGTGGCAAACTCGTAATCATAATAAATGAGATGGTGGATTTTATTTCAATTACAAGAAAAAAACAGAAAAATGTTTGACTCATAATATTGTTGTTTCAGAGCAAAGACAAGTGGACATTGGACACTAATTAAAAATACTTTGAATCAAAATCAGAATTTAGTAAAGAGTCAACAGCCCTTTAAACGTATACATTTTCAAAGAAAACACTCCACATTCTCCAAAATACAAGACAGTCCCTCTTCCTCTAAGAGCATCTTGAGAAGTATGCCATCCCCAAATTATAGGGCTTATGCAACCGTTGGGTGCCTGTCATTTTCAAACTGTTCTGTTTTTATTTCATGGTGAGAAATGCTTAAGTGTGATTTTTCAACAATGCTGTTCTAGATCTCCAAGACATCTTCGAATGAAGTTCAGTGCCCTTAACAGAGAACAAATACCTAAGGAATGCATATCTAAGTCATTACTGATTTCATTAATCAGATGGGAAATGCCTCGTCATGATTCTTACTGTGTTGTGAGTTTTTTGGTGCTTCTATCCACACGAGCCACTTGAGGATATGTTCCAGCACAAAGAGCTGCCTGTCATCAAATAAATATTTATTAATCACTTAATAAGTGTATTCATAAAGGATAATTAAAGTAATTAGTTTGTTTATATAGTAATCACTACTATTGGCCTGTTTGGCTTGAAAAACCTACTCTTTCACATTGTTTTTCTTCATCAATAAGTATAAATAGGTATCAGCATTTTGTTGCAGGTCACTTTAAAAAAGACTGGTTAACATGCAACAGACTACCATTCCATCCAGTGGGAAACAATACTCTACAAATGATTTCATACCAATGAATTCCCTTTATTTTTCATTTTGTACAGAACATATTCTGCTGTAGTTTGTTGCTATAGCTGAACACAGACAACCGTGACTACAGTTGACACAAGACTTAAAGAATTGGATAATAATGAGGAAATCAGAGGTGAAGTCATTTGAACAAATCACTAGAAATGAACTTTTGTTGAACTATACCTTGACAACAGCCCAGTTACTTGAGTTTGAATTCAAGTCTCTGATGTCTCCTGCACCCCGAGGCCGTATAAAACCTGCAACTTTTAACTGGCCAAGAATCTGCGACCTAAGGTATAAAGAAGAAAAAAAATGACGTTGAACAATAATTAACAATTATTCCATGAGCGCGCGTTGGATATGAGATGGTAAATAGCCAACGAGGCCCGTAGGGCCGAGTTGGCTATAACCAATCTCATANTTTTTATGGAGTCACAGTCAGGAGAAGAGGTGCTGGTTTATTATGAATTCCTCTTTCTAAGACCAAGACAGAGCCCCAGAATGGCAGAGGTTTGCCTGACAGGTTATATAAATACCCAAGGAATTTTCTGTCCCGTTCTGGACACAATCACCTACACGTGTATGGCTCCTATTTTTGTGTTGTTGTTGTTCTTTTTGCTTCCCAAATATTCAGTTCCTTTGTGAAACTCCAACGAAACAACATAATTATTCTAAATGTTAAAGTTGATGTTAAACGTTAGCTGAAAACCTGCTGTTTTAAAACCCTACAGCAGCGCACACAAAATGGCTGGAATTCAGGACTGAATAAATGTTACAACTTACAAGAATTTCCAGATTGATGTAACCAGATGACCACAAACATATAGAAAGCCCTGTCAAGATCTGCTTACTGAAAATTATATCTATATAGCTTTTTACCTCATTCCTGCCATCATTTCTAAAGTGGCTTGAGACAAATAATTCCTGCGGCAGAAGTTTTTGTCAGAACCTTCAGATCTTGCTCGTTGCCAGCCCTGTAAACAAGACAAGATGATTTGTCATGCCAGATTGGCCGGGTCAGAGTAATCTTGAGAAAGAATAGCTTGTGGGCATTCAGATAACTTAGCCCTACAAACATTTGACCTTGCTAGACAGCCTTTTCTCTTGCAGATGAGGCCCAAGATGTGATCTTACCTGAAGGATACACAAAAACTGAATGTGGTTGATGAATAAGTTTGTGGTAACTTGAGTGGTAATCATCTGTTGATCAGATGATTCTTCCGTTTTTGTAGAGAAGTCCATGTAAGCGATTGGTCTGCCAATTATCAATTTAAGGCATTATTTCTGTTGTTCAAAACATTATATGACTGTGCATACTAACAGCGATTCATTTTCCATGCATAGGTGGTAACACAGACTCACCCTAAACACTTGAACAAATATCAAGTGATCACTGAATGGATCTAAAGTAAATCTTTTCCTGGCTGCAGCTGCAGCACGCTTCTCTGATGGGTACATGGGTAGCATGACTGCAAAAGTATACAAGGTATATTTAAGACAAGTCCAGAGTTCTACCCAATTGTCTGTATCAATTATACAAGTTTCACTTAATACACACTTGCTTTTGGTTTCTCCATGAACAAGTGAACTGTTCATGACAAACACCTGTTATACATTGAGGGGTAGCTAAATACATAAGATCTGATCCCTGCAGGGCAAAATGAACTGTGCAGACAGTGGAGGTAGACATCATATTTACTTTGGTATCTAAAGGAAGAACTGAACTGTAGAAGGTATTGCATACTGCTAGTGGTAATTTAGACATTTGAGTTACAGTTATTGTTGTAGATATCCCTTATTCTGATTTGATATCTTTTAGTCCCAAGATGCCTAGTCTCATGCACATCAATGCTTTTATTAACTTTGGAAGTCGCTGGCTGCCTTGGTGCAGGAGCCACTACTCAACGACAGGAGCCAGTGTAGAGTCAATTCTTGAAAGCTGCTGATTCACAACAGAGTAGCCACTGGAGCTCCAGAAGCTGATAGATCTTATTGAAAGAAATGACACATCAGTTTCGTTTTTACTTACAAGGATCTCTGTACGCCAGAGCACAAGCTATGGTTACCACAGGATCCACACATTTGAGAACAACTGAATACAAAATCATCTTCCCCAGTTGTGGACTTAGTGGAAGGTCTGCAAGATGACGACCTGTGGGGGCATTCCAACATACTATCAGACAATACTCCGTTTATTTATCTCTATGCACGCATTGCAGATCTATGATGTTAGATGATACTGCTTTGCACAAATTGTGGATCTATGACAAATTGTGGATCTGTAGCAGCATGTTTCTTGCAGTCGTGCAAGTGCCAGCAGACAACAAGGTATTCAAGTACAAAATGAAAAAAAAGGAAGAGCATATAGAAAATCTGCCATCAGAAAACAATAACTATTTTATCGAAAGTTTAGTGCCTTTTGTAGTTGGATATTTGAACTTATATACCATGCACACTGGAAAAATACTACAAGTTGCATGTACATCACTGGAATTTTGGGAAAATTTACATCAATTAATGTTTGATTCAAAGTTTAAATTATATGAAGTGAATGAATCTTTTTTGGGGACATGTACCTTTCAGTGGTAAATAGGTTTGCCATTGCAGATAAATTGACCACTACCACTGAAAGGAAATAAATTATATACACAACATATTGGTTATCTCATGTTTGTCATTGCCTGATGCCACAACATCAATTAAGGCTACAAGTATGACACTTGCATACAAGTATGTTTTTCATCCTGTGTAATGTTATCATGAAAAGTTATGAATCAATGTATTTACCAAGATCTGTCAGATCCTCCCACTGATCCAAAGCATCTATAGTCTTAAACAGCAAACAAATGTGAAAGAAAACATCAGCAACATGTACTGGATGGATAAATGATATTGATTGTATAAGACCACCCACAATTACATTACCCAATGGCATTAAAGTGTTAAAACAAGAAAACTGATCACAAGTTTATTGTTTCTGTAGTGTGCAGCTCTCTAGGATAACTTGAGAAATATTTTTTGCCAACAGCGGAGGCTTTTTCTCTCGTTTGTTTTACATAGGTTGCCTTGGTTGAGGTAGTTACATTGTAAAAGTAACACTAAAATCAAATTCCATTTTAACTCAGATTTCATGTAATAGTCACCATTTATTATATAAGCACCAGTGAAATACACCAGGATTTTTCCTTTTACTAAAAAATCATATCTCCATCATGTGCAGTGAAGATACTATTTTTATCTTTCACACTGTGAAGATATCATTCCTTTTTGACAAAATTTTTCTTTTGTCCCTTTAACTACACTTAAATTTGTTGATGTATGATTCAAACATCTTCGGATCTTCTTCAGTTGTCTTCAGCAATCTTTGGTAATCTTTGGTAATCTTCGCAAAATGTTCGGAAATGTTTGGAAAATGTTTGAAAGTGTTCGTCTGGCCTACAAAACAATTTTGGAAAATCTTCGGAAAGTGGTCGGAAATCTTCAAAAAATCGTCAAAAACATTGTCATTAGTTTGCTTATATAATAAACAGAATATCACATGCCTGCTTGTGGATACGAATTTTATCTCCTCGTGTTCAACTCAATACATGTATCTCGTGAGTCAATGCAGCAAATGAGTGAGATATCAAGTTGAACACTCGAAGATAAAATTCGTATCCACAAGCAGGCATGTATTTTGTCCATCCATCCCCTCCACAGTCCCTGTGAGCTGCTGCAGAATTTAGAAAACTTTGCCATAATATGGATATTACCTTTGCACCCTATGGTGGCCAAAGAAACAATCATCACATTTAAATGTGAAAAAAGCCTTAAATTGTCTGAACAGACCTTCAGCAGGGCAACAGCATTGCGGAGCACCAAAAATGGTGGTGGTTCAGCAGCTTTTGACAGGAAATCAGCTATTGAGGTGTTAGGTGATGCCAGGAGTTTTGTATGAAGACAAAGTTCCTGCACAACAAAAACCAAATAACACTTGCTCAGCGATGCCATTGTTCTCCATGCAGTTGGCAGCCATTTGTAAAGACGATTTGATAAACAAATTTGAGTACATAAATGCTGTATTAATGCTACTTTGCAATGATGTTGAGTTATTACTGTATCAATAAGAAATTCGATGAAGGAACAAAGTTAAAGAACTTCAACCATTACCAAACTTGGAAGTATAACATCATGCATTTCAAGTGACTTGTGATACAATATTTATTGCATATTTGCTAACTCAGCTAATCACCTAACAGTAATGCATCTTATGCTACCATCCACTTCTTGTATTTACTACAGAAATGTCTCAGAAAACAAGAAATTAAATGCAATGCTGTTACAAGGTCCGTGGGTTGTGATTGGTAACAGTGAANTCATATCCAACGCGGTTTCATGGAATAATTGTTAAATAGCCCTGTCTTGCATATAAAATTGTATACTTGCGGCACATAACTTTAATTTTGTACCTCTTTCACTTTTCCACTGTCAATTACAAACACAACATCATCTATTGTTACACTTGTCTCTGCTATGTTGGTAGAGAGAATCTGTGCAAAAGAAGAGGTTTGTAAGCATTCACTTATCAAAAAAGTTAAAAAGCGTTGGTACTGTGAAATATCTCAAATTAAGCTAAGAACTAGTCAAAAGATTTCCAAGGGTTTAAAAGAGTTTATTTAGGGTTATGGGTTATCTTTAGAGGATCTTAAGTTTATACATTGGGAAAAACATTTGGTCTCTACCTAGAAGGCTTTGGGGTACAACAAAAATGGGAAAAAGTAACTATCTTTACCCCAATGTTGAACATAAGGTTACAGGCATCAGAAAAAGGAAAAAAAAAAAAAAAAAATTAAAGAAGATGAATGGGATATAATTTAGGGTAACTTAAACTTACAATCTTTCTCACAGTATGATGTAGCTTTCTGAAAACCTTGGAAAAGAAAAGGAAAATAGTAAAACATCATACCAGCCTTGCAAGTAGAAATGAAAAGACTGCAATAATAGAAGAGTCACGTTTTCCAATCTACATTGTATGTAACAATATTTACCTTTCTCTGTTCTGATGGCTGCATAGAAGAGTGAAGAGTGAAGATCTGATACCTAATTTGGTAGTAAAGAAATAGCCAACTCAGTATTTCTGTTTCAAACCTTTCATNTGCATATAAAATTGTATACTTGCTGCACATAACTTTAATTTTGTACCTCTTTCACTTTTCCACTGTCAATCACAAACACAACATCATCTATTGTTACACTTGTCTCTGCTATGTTGGTAGAGAGAATCTGTGCAAAAGAAGGGGTTTGTAAGCATTCACTTATCAAAAAAGTTAAAAAGCAATGATACTGTGAAATATCTCAAATTAAGCTAGGAACTAGTCAAAAGATTTCAAGGGTTTAAAAGAGTTCATTTAAGGTTATGGGTTATCTTTAGAGGATCTTTATACATTGGGAAAAATGTTTGGTCTCTACATAGAAGGCTTTGGGGTACAACAAAAATGGGAAAAAGTACCTATTTTTACCCCAATGTTGAACATAAGGTTACAGGTATCAGAAAAATGAAAAAATACAATCAAAGAAGATGAATGAGATATAATTTAGGATAACTTAAACTTACAATCTTTCTCATAGTATGATGTAGCTTTCTGAAAACCTTAGAAAAGAAAAGGAAAATAGTAAAAAATCATACCAGCCTTGCAAGTAGAAATGAAAATACTGCAATAATAAAAGCATCACATTTTCCAATCTACACTGTATATAACAATATTTACCTTTCTCTGTTCTGATGGCTGCATAGAAGAGTGAAGAGTGAAGATCTGATACCTAATTTGGTAGTAAAGAAATAGCCAACTCAGTATTTCTGTTTCAAACCTTTCATATGGAAATGAGATTTTTTTGCATGTTCATATCATCTTGCAAATCAAACTCTCTTCTTTATGAAAGGTTGTACACCAGGGATTGTTTTGAATTAGAGGGAAATAGCAACTTGGTAATGGCTTATTGATATATTTACATGACTAAAACATTCTAAGAACCACCAAAGATTGTCCATTGTGCCTAGAACATTTTGTATTGAATGATATAACAATGATGATATCTGAATACAATTCGATGAAGCAATACCTTCTTGAATTCCCAAATTCTCTATCAGCTGTCAAATGATCACGAAGAGTAATAATTTCATCATAGCCAGGAAGGAACACCAAAATAGCACCTGTGTATAAGATTGATTACTTAGCTTGTATGGTAAGATTGTTCCGGTGACTTGAAGAGATTAGTAACTGTTGTTGGTGACTAACATTTCAACAACCTGTGTGGAAGTCATCACGAGAAACAAATGAAAAGCGAACTTTGTCACTTAGCAGTTGATGGTGTTATAAATAAGTCTGGTCTGTTAAAACTGATGGGTCAGTTTAGCCATAATGGCATTGGCTCTAAGATAAGTGTAAAGTTTGTCAACAGTCATTTGTTGGTTCCAGTAAGTTTTGATCCATCTGTTGTTAGTCAAGTTAAGTTGATCTGTTTGAGGTCTGTCTGTCGGCTTTGTTTATGCCATGAATAGGTTGCTTGTAAGGTGCAGGTAGTAAGGGCTGTTCAAAAGTCTAACCTTCTTGCTGAGTATTGCAAATATATGTCAGCAAACTGATAATCAGATCACGATCAACCTGTGAAGAAATCGATATTAAGAGAGGATTCCTCATCTGTGGTGGAACAACAAATAAACCTACATGTAGTTTAATGATCTCAGTTTCCACAAGTCTCCTGCAGCTCAGTGGTAGAGCATCTGGACTACTGACCAGAAGGTCTTATGGTCAGCACTCATGCGGGGAAAAGTCCTGAGGACTACCCCCCCTGGGACTTGTCCCACAAACAGTTCACACTAACGCTTGTGAGGGACCAGTTGCAGGAACTTGGCCCTTCTATAAGTATTGAAACCAGTTTGAATCCATGGAACAAGCTGCAGGGATCAAATTTGGTCTCTGTGACTAGATATTTGACAAAAATGGCACGTTCACACTAAGGAACTTGTCCCAACAACTTGTTGCGGGAAATAATCACAGGGCTTGTTCTTGGGTGCGTGCTGACCTTTAGGTTGGACTCCAATTTGGAGGCGTTGGATTTCTTTTTCTGAGTATCCCTGTGTCACTGACAGAAACACGATCTTCTCAATAACAAAATAATCCTCTTGAAAGTGCACTTACATGTAAATGAGCATCAAAGACAACTTACCCTCTCATCATCAAACGTCTTGTGATATATGGAAAGCAACTCTTTGCTTTCTTCACTTAATTCGTTAGACTCCTTTTCTAAAGCTGTTTCATCAACATATGGCACTTTTGGTGATGACCTGAGGATTGTTGATATGGCAGGTGGGGAAATCAATATTAACCGAGAATTATTATATTTTTCACCAGGGCCAGCCCGCATGAACAAAAATCTTATACTGGACCTCTGCAACAATTGACGTGTTAATTGAATGCTGTACTTACAAGGTTGACTCAAGAAGTTCAACGACTTCAGTGTGTTCCCATTTCTTGGCCCAGTCTATTGCAGTCCTAGGAAAGGATAACACAGTCATATTGATCTGACTTCAAAACAAACAGGATGAGTGGGCAAGACGGAACATAAAATAATGAAGATTTTTCTTTAGTTGGGCCTGCCATATTCCAGTGATATGTATTGGTGCAGGTTTTTTATTTGGTGCATTGGTAATAGTGCCAGCTTCCCAACCTGGCATCATAAACAGGTCAAGTTTGTTGTTGGTTCTCTTAATCTCGCCAACATAAATACGTTATTGAATTGTTGGAGAAAGAACAAATTGTAATTAAGTTCTTAAGATTTTTTCCAAGACCCAGCAATATCACAATTACTGGTACATGCATGTGCAACACAATACTTCTCTCAGTGCGCCTGTATAGTCATTTGTGACAAAACTAGACCACTTGCTTTAATAGGTTTCCACTTATGAAAATATGTCTTTTAAGTTTTGATTTTTGAAAGTCATGCCCATAACAGTGCCACTTTAAAGCACAGAGGGGAGGAATGGTTTTGTTACCAGCCATTCTTAGCTTCCTTGATGTGCGGATTTGCTCCTAAATTTAACAGCTGCTCCACAACACCAGAACAGCCTCGACCTGATGCTACCATCAGAGCAGTGGCCTGGGTCTCTGAGTGTTGATAATCCACTGTGGAAAGAAACAAATATTAATTTTGTCATACTTGTCTTCACCTGTATCTACAACCTCATAAACAGGCAATCTACTGTAGGTACTTTATAAGAATGATCTGAAATTCAGAAGTACAAACAAAATGATGATGTGATCACCGCAGTCGTAATCACAATAATTTTATTGCAAGTTAAGTCCAAATAAAAGTTTTCTAGGCCTGGAACTGGACAGATTCGAACCCATGGCCTCTGCATTAGTAAGTGCTGCAGTGCAGTGCACAACTGGGTTATGGAGACCCATGCATTGGGAGCAGGCCAATTCGATGACATTGGTTTGCTCACAATGTCTTCATAATTCGGTTGGTACTGCTCAGCACTCATGGGTTCAAATCCTGTTAAAGCTCTGAAATATTATTTCATGCTTAATTTGCAATTGCTTAAATTGTGATTACAACTGTGATACTGTAGTTTTAACCTCATTTCAAATCAAATACAGTTGAATATTGCTACCCCAGATTCAGCTTACTTGAAGTCCCCTCTAACCTGAACAAAAATCATTTTTCCCTTGGATATCCTTTTTTCAGACATTTATTATCAACTATCATGAGACCAAGCCATCTCGACCAATAAGATAATTTTTCTTAAGAGTTTAAAATGGTGGGAATCACCTGTGCGAAGAAAAACTGTTAAACTGGATACAACATTTTGTTAAAAATAGAAACTGTTAGCAACTCACCACTAATATTTTCATGCATAATCAAGTAAAGAATCTGAACAAATGACTCCTCATCACCCTAGCAAGAAACATAACAGGACATTCTTTGTAAAATGGATCTATTTTGTGGAAAGAGGGTTAGCACGCAATACATACTAGATTAAGAGTCCTTTCCGATGATGAATAAAATGATTTACAGATATCTTCCATGTGTTGTTTTCTACTTACATTAAGCCAAGCCTCAGAAATGCTGTTATCCATTTCTTGCTTTAAATATTGATCCTCACTGTCACTTTCCTAGAAGATGGCAAGGCTAGATGTTAACATTGAACTTTGTATAGTCAACACAAAACTAACAAAAAGATCTGGCTTGCACTATACATAATAACAATAACAATAATAACTTTATTTAAGTGTCAAATGTATTTAGCACTGTTGTACTAATTGAGAACACTGTAAATAAACAAACAAATATTACAAATAGAACACAAATTGTGATGAATCCCAACTGGTGGGAGGCTGACCAGTTGGTTGTTTACACAACATGGTCGAGGAGTTGAACTCGGGACTACTGCTCAAGAACAAATCCAGATAGCGGTAGGGAGGAGGATTTAAACCAGGGACCTCCAGATTTCAAATACACCGCCCTAAACCACTCGGCCATGCCACTTCTCGCGCCTCTGGTATGTACAGCCAAACGTTTCCACGATGGCCACCTTGGTTACAGAGCAAATTGGCCACTGTAGAGAGGTGGCTGTTATGGGGAGGTAAGGGTGTAATATGACATGTATCTGTATTTTTAATTTTTGGAGTGCAATTTGTTTATCAAAAACTGCTTATTTTAGCACATATAAATTAAAATGCAAAAATAAAAAAAATGGACCTAAACAGAACAAAGGGTACAGTATGGATCAAGTTTGGTGCCTTTTACAATAAAAAAAAGAGTTTTGTATACAGCAATTGCCAGTCATTGATTAACTTGCAGTTGTCGAGAGGTTATTGTAGCAGGTGGGACATGTTTTAGTGGCAGTTATTTTCAGGATTCATGTTCTTTGCAATCAGCTACAAAAAATTGGCTATACCTCATCCTCTTTGTCCTTGCCATCATCTACTGGAATTTGCACAATATCTTCCCCATTATCTTCCTGAAGTTTGATCACTTCAATTCCTTCTTCCACGCCTTTGACTTCTCCATCGTCCATTTTCCCTTCCTCCTCCACTAAATCCTCATCATCTCCCTCTTCGTCATCCCCCTCATCATTAACATCATTGTCTCCTTCCTCCTCTCCTTCCAGTAAGATGTCCTCCTCGATTTCTTCCCCATCACCCAACTCCTCATCAAGTTGGAAGTCTGGGAGGTAGTCCTTTTCTTGGGAGTCCTCAGCTATCTTTTGTTCTGGATCATCTTCCAGTTCAATTTCTAAAATGGGGAATGATGTGCAAAAAAAAAAAAAAGAAAGAAAGAAACTTTAGGAATTAAGCCTCCACAGCTTTCACTCTTTAAACTGAAAAGTGTTTAAAATTCTTCTTTCAAATTAGCTAAATATTCCTCCATTCTTGTTTCAATGCTGTAAGCAGCGACATTTCCTTATTTGCTTATTAAAAATGGCACTTGGTGGGGAAGTGTTTATTATAAAAGAGGTGGTTTTGGAAAGGGAGCACTAAGTCAAACCATTACAGTACTATCACATGCACCTGTGCACAATGGATAAAACTGAATCCCTCATAATTCAATTAAGTTGAACTTCAAAATTTTATCCTTAGATCTTTCAGCACCATTGGCTAATACATAATGTATCACTGTATGGCTGATGGTTTACATTTAGTTACCCTCTGCTGGCTGCAGTTCTTCATCAAACATTTCATCTGGGTCTAAATTAACACTGAGTGGAGTGGGTGGAGCCAGCTCCTCTATAATCACATTGCTCTCACTTCCAACCTCACCAGCCTTCTGAGAGCTCTCAACTTCATTATCTTTAACTGACGTGGAATCGTCTTTCTTGAGAGCAAGGCGGCTGTTATCCTTTTCCTCTCTTCCATTTTTGCTTCTTGCTTCTTTTAAATGCTTGGCCATCTCTTTGTTACAATATGATGTCCTGTAACACGACACAAAATTATCTATGGGAGGACAAAAGGTTTTGCAGGGTTCTTTGTAATTCATAGTGATCAGGACTTTACTTGCATATTGCAGAAAGCAAATTAGGAATCCCCTTATGGAAGGGTAAAAGCAGCCCATGCAGATGCCAAACATTTTGCGCTTGTTTGACAACTGCTGCGGAATTGATGTGTTATACAAGTTTGTTAGCACCCTAACATAAACAAATGACAGAAATTTTAAACCTGAACGTAGTCTTTGCCAGTCAATTTTAGATGTTTGAAGTGGACAAGATACATGACATGTGTAAAACAAACTAAAATAAAATTATTACAGTGTAATCAAAACCAAAAGCTATTGTAGAGCACTCACATCTTTAGGACATCTTCCAAATAATATGTTTTAACCTCGTAGCATCGACCAGGAACTGTAGAAAAATAACCTTGATTATGCTGAGCATATAATGCCATGTTCTGTAGCAAGCATAAGGCAACAACAATTCTCTTCTTTTACATGACTCTGTTTTTCATAGAATGATACACTTGACAGCTACCTTTTAACAAATCATGAATGTTGATTGCTGTATACATGTACACTGTACAATGTATATGGATGTCTTTGCATCTTTACCACACTGTGAGCAATGTCTAACAACATCAGTGGGAGTCACTTTTACTAATAAACAGAAGCCATAACGGCAGGCTCTGATTTCCTTCGATTTTGAGAGCAAGTCACCCAAATTGCCCAGTAGCACATTTTGTAGGTTTTCTTCACAAAATGTAAAATTATCCATTTCAGAATGCTCTATGAAACTACATGTGCTCTCAACTTCTTTATATTTAGGTGTCTCTTTAAGAGTAAAACTTAATGTAGTAGCCTGAAGTGGTGTTATGTAGGTCTTCATGTACAATTACATATACATGAATACAACACTTACGGTACTTTTAACTTAATCTTCCTCTAAAGGAGAAGTCTGTCTAAGACATCATTACTTACAGCAGCCCCTGAGGGTGTCCATTTTACATGTAGATGAAATTGACAGTATACACTATATGGTCAATAAACAGGTTTGAAGCCAATGTAACTATAAAAATGACCTACCATGAACTACTGGGCACTTGCCAAAGTACTCAATAAACAGGTTGATGTCCAAAGCGGCACTCATTAAAATCAACTTCAGCCTTCTGTTCACTGTTAAAAGGTCCCTCAAGGCGATCAAAAGAAAGTCAGAAAATCTATCACGTTCATGAACTTCATCCTGATCAGAAAATAAAAGCAAAATAATGAAAGCTACATGTTATCAAAGGAGTTGCATTAACGTGTTCAACAGGAGGGCAACTGGTTTCAATAGGTGGGCAAAACTTATTGAGAGCTCTGAACTTCTTCATAAGAAAAACTTCCTCTAGATGGTCAAACAAAGTGGGCAAAATCATGTTCACAACCAGTCAATAATTTACACAGTGCCTACAAATTAATGAAACCCCTGGATACTCACTATGGTGGTAACCATGCTGCTACTGATTAACAGTACTGTTTGTTCAATGCATGAGTAAGGTAATTCGACCAGGGTTAGCATGAACTATTTTCCTCATTTTGCAACCAATCATTCACATTTTCTTTTTTTACGAAAGTCCAAATACTTAAAACATTAGTTTGCATAACTACGTGTGTTTTTTTTTAAATGAATAGCATTGCTAGAGTTTCTACCACTTATTTTCTCTTACCACAAGAACATGTGTGACAAATGAGAGGGAGTTATCTCCTGACATCAAAGTCCGTAACAGCACTCCAGTTGTGCAATAAGTTAACAATGTCTTGGGAGATATTCTACATGAAAGCAAGCAGAAGCAAGACTTACTGTATGCAATAGTGATTGAATATGGCTGAATAGGAGATGTTTGACAGCAGACTGCAAATTCTTCATGAAACATTTTTGTTTGTTGATGTTCTCATTGCCACTCTAGTCAGGGTTTGCATCCTGACCCTTACATTTGAGCTTACAAGTTAATTTTAAAAGTCAATTTAGGGGTATTTCTTAATTTTTAATTATCATTTTTTTTTTTACTGTTTTCTATATTTCTATTAGTACAATGGTTAAATGTTATTATTATTTTTAATCTACTATTTCTTTAGCTTTT